GGCCAATGGTCGTGAAATGTATTTCCCCATAAAGCAGGGTAAGAAATATTCAGCTCATAAGGTTGTATAGCTCTGCGTACGAATTTAATCCGGTGCTTACCATAGCCCGCCAATAATCTTTTTTTTCATTTAAAAATGAAAAAATAAATAAACCGGGAGTGATCTCCCCTAAACTTTCTCGAATATCTTATATAAAACAACAGCAGGGGATGGGAACTCGGGATATAGTTATGATTTTTAATCCATTTTAAATACTTAAACTTTTTAAAATAGAATAGAATCTCATAGAAAAAAGAATTGCGCACCAAGTGGGAAAAATTGATCTTTGTTTCTGACTTACACCAATGTCAATATTTGTTAGGATATGTGTTCCGTTGGGGATATTTTACGTATGATCGGTGTTTGACTTTTCAATTTTTTTTTTTTTAGAATTGCCAACGTGTCGAATGAGTAAAAAAAAAATTAACACTGGGCATTAAAAGTTTTGGTACGTTATAGAGGAAATGTATTAAAACCATACACTTGGGTTGTAATACTCTTTACGTTGTTAAGATAGATGACCATCCCCCCCCCCCCCAACCCCATCGGTATTTCTTTCACAACTGGTTAAAGGTACGATATATATCGTGACGCTAATATTTTGACGATAAAGGATGGGGTTGGGGAGGGGAGGTTTAGCTTCAAATACCATTTTTAGGTTACTTTTTATTCCCTAGGTCTAAAAGCGCATTACACTATGACTTATAAATTATATTTTTATAACCCCCCCCCCCCCCACTCGTCAAGTGCTTTATGTTACGACATAAAAATGACCCAGCTTATTTATCAAATTTACCATCGTAAGTCTTAAAAAAAACTTTTCTAAGAACTAAAGTCATAGTATTGACTAAATTATTTGACTCGAACGCTTAACCAAGCTTTAATTAAAAGCTATAAAAATGCATATACCTTTAAGTCGCATACTTTGTTATAAGCTTAAATCATAGAAATGATTTACAATTTACAAAGCTATGGGCTAAAACTTTAATTTTTTTAAAATTCTTTGCAAATACTGACGAAAGACGAAATATAAACCAGTTCAAATATTTTGCTAAGAGCTTTAAATACATTCTTCTAGTGAGTACAGCAAATGAGCTAAAATATTTGGTCTACAGACGGTAAATTTAAAAAGTTAAAAAATAAACGAATTCATTTCCCAAAGGTGTTGACCCTCCCTAGATTAAAGTGTGCTTCGTCAAATTAACTTTAGCTATTGTATTCAAGATGGCATTAAAGCTAAATTAAAAGCTAGAATTAGTAGGTAAAAATAGTACTTAAATCACGAAGTCATCGAAATTGGAAGTTGATACTGTAAACTAATATTTGGAAATTCCAGACTTATTGTTTGTTTTAAATGGTGGGGGAAAAATAGGGGGAGAGGAGATTAAAGATTTGAAAAGTGTGGGTCAGATTTCAATAAGTAACATTTTAGACGTAATCTGGAGATTAAGTATCGACAGTGGCGTAGCGAGGTCGGGTGTCACCTGGTGCGGCACTTAATGGTGTCACCCCCAGAGGCGTAGCGACCCTTCCCGGGGACAAACTTTCAAATTTTCGATTTCCACCCCCCCCCCCCCAAACTTTCGATTTGCACCCCCCTCAAGTTTTTTTCTCTATATATTTTGCTATTTTTTGCCTTGGTGTCACCCCCCTAAATGGTGTCACCCGGTGCGGTCCGCACCCCCGCCCCCCCCCCTCGCTACGCCTCTGAGTATCGACAGAGCGGGTGTCATTAGTGGATAGGTGTAATTATGTTGATGATGTTAGACGTAGGTGAATTAATGTTTTGCGTGTCAGGAAACAGACTTAGAAAATAAGTGCGATGGATTTGTTATCAGTGAAGTTATATCGGGTCAAGTTCAGAAATTAAGGTTAGGGTTATTGCAGTGCGTGGGTTTAGGGTATCTGTGACATTGGCGGTAGCCTAACACCCCTTTTTAGGAAGAATCCATTGTTGTGGTATGGTGGGACAGCGGTTTAACACACTCCCAAATTGTGTATTTAAGTGAGTAAAGCTTTTTTTTTTTCGAACCTGACAGTCCGTGGATCAAGTGAAGTAGAGCTCACCTGTTTCTGTGATCCGGCATATGAAGGGATAGTGTGGTGAGCACTATGCCCAGCCGCCTTTATTTTCCCTAACGTGAGTTAGATACCCAATTAGGCTGGGTGGACTCAGGCGTGTTCTACTGACGTGAAACCGTATTCCACTTGAGACTTTCGGGTTAGCAATCTAACACGCTGGGCCAACTTATGCATAGGCCGACAAACCTTTTGTTATTCATAAAATGATTGTGGTATTGTGTATGTGTTTAAATATTTATGAAGCCAGCCACAGAAATTTATTTGAATAGAACCACTGAACCGCGAAAGAAAATGATCAGAATTTTATTTCGTGAAACGTGAACCCTAAAGCGCGATTTAAATCTAAAAAAAAAATGCCGATATAGAGCTATTTTCTACTACTACTTTGCGTCAGAATAAAATTAAACCTGCTGCTTAAGACTGCAGTCCTGTACCCAGAGGCGTAGCGAGGGCGGGGTGGGGGGTGCGGACCGCACCGGGTGACACCATTTAGGGGGTGACACCAAGCCAAAATATTGCAAAATGTACAGAAGAAAATGCCTTTTCGCCAGATCCTTTAGTGATTAATTTAAAGTTAAGTATTTTTTAAGTAAAAATCGACAATTACAAGAGTGTGGGGGTGACATCATAACGTTAAACGTGCAAACTATAAAGACTGTATTACTAAAACAGACTAAAGATAAATATCGTTACTATAAAGCCTGTGGTATATATATATATATATATATATATATATATATATATATATATATATATATATATATATATATATATATATATATATATATATATATATATATATATATATATATATATTATATATATATATATATATATTTATAATATATATATATATATATATATATATATATATATATATATATATATATATATATATATATATATATATATATATATATATATATATATATATATATATATATATATATATATATTATATATATATATATATATATATATATATATATATATATATATATATACTTTGTTTCTTGGGGGGCGGGGTTGACACCACGAAGTGCCGCACCGGGTGACACCCGACCTAGCGACGCCACTGCCTGTACCTATCAATAGACTCCGTGCTTGTGCCCCTATTACACCCTCAACCGCTCTAAAAAAAATGAGTGTGTAAGACGTGAATATTCAACCACTCAACCGTAGCAGCTGGCAAGTCATATACCGCAAGCGACTTCCTGCTTTCTGCGCATGTATAGACACGGGCTGATACAAATAAATAAGCGCAACAGATGTAAGGGCGGCCTTAAGATTTCTCAACTACTATAATCAGAGGAGTAAAGGGGATAGGGAGTGAGGAGTGGGAAGGATTTCGGTTTGAAATACTAAAATGTTCAAGCAAAACATGTCAAAACTTAACAATCTCCAACTACAATCTCACTTGAAAAACCTCCGTTTATAGGCTTTGTTATTCTTTTTTTTCTGTTATTATTTTTTATTGTCGTTTGCTTTGGAATTTACTCACATGTCTCTTCTCCTAATATCCTTATTTGTTTTTACAAAAAAATAATTAATTGTAATGCCAATTATTAAGTTCCAATACTTTACAGCGACAAGACTAATTACTAGGTGTAGTTTAACTCGCGATTAGGTATAATTACGGTGGAGCTGTTGATTTAGTTTTATGGCTTGCAATCGTGAACCAGACAAAATCATAGTTACATTAAGCATTTTGTGGGGGAATTCCCTTTTGAAAAAAAAAATCTCTAATTTTTTCTGCCATCCCCTTAAAAAAAGTCGATGTTTCTATAAGTATTAAACAAATAAATCTGTTTATTATTTATTATTGTTGATGTAATTTCTGATTGTTAATGCTATTAACCAATTTTATTCACTATAAAATGATTTATTTTGTTTTAAATTTAGCAGTTTGTTCGCCGAATACACTTGATTTACACGAGTGATTCACTTAAATCCAAAAACGAATCGGTTTTCGTTGGTTTCGGATTTCGCCGGCGATCACTAGTGTGGCTATCGGATTACAAAAACAATTTTTTAGCTGAATAAGACACTGCTTGAGTTTTAAACCAATCGCTGTAGACTGTGAAAAAAATATTATTTAAATTATGAGTTTATGAAATAAGTAGGGCGAGTTTGAACAAATACGCGCGCCTATATTTAGAAACATTCAAGGGAGAGAAGCGACGGCGCGAAACGCCGCATCCATCGGGTATGAACAAAGAAGTTATTTATAGCGCGAGCCCGGAATCAAATAACATTTTTGGTATTTTGTTATGAAACGACAAAATAACTCCCGTTTCGTCAGCCGTTACGATTTGTAACACACTTCACAAAGTTTCTCAGCCGTTGAAATTTTTAACACAATCCAAAAAAAAAAAAAGACTAAAAATCCAGACTGGTCGAAACCCGTCTGGAACCTCGGTCAAGGTCAGAACTGACGTCATAGCTGCCTTCTCAGGACGGATGGACCAAAAAGTTAGCTAGAGAGTCCTATGATTGGTGAGTGATTGGTGTCAGAACAATTTCGACTCCTCTATAAACGACGTGGTTATAAAACCTCGAATTTTTTAAATTGTATTTTTTTTTAGATGTTTTGTAAAGGAAGAAGCGGGGGGGGGGGGGGGGGGGGGGGAAGAGACCAAGTGGAAATTTCGCTGATTTGAAAAGCCGGCTAAACCGGCTTGACCGGTTTGAAACTGTTCAGTCATTGTGAGGCCGAATGGAACGATTCATCTATTGATGCTTTAAAAATCCATCTCATTGACAACGGAATTAGCGAGAAACAAGAGTTGTCATAAACAGCAGAAGGTGATAACAGCAGGAGAAGGTGCTATCTTCAACAGAAGGTGCTATCTACAACAGAATGTGCTATCAACAACAGAATGTGCCATCAACAACAAAATGAGTTATCTACAACAGAAGGTGCTATCAACAACAGAAGGTGCTATCAACAACAGAAGGTGCTATCAACAACAGAAGGTGCTATCAACAACAGAATGAGTTATCTACAACAGAATGTGCTATCAACAACAGAATGTGCCATCAACAACAAAATGAGTTATCTACAACAGAAGGTGCTATCAACAACAGAAGGTGCTATCAACAACAGAAGGTGCTATCAACAACAGAAGGTGCTATCAACAACAGAATGAGCTATCTACAACAGAAGGTGCTATCAACAACAGAAGGTGCTATCTACAACAGAAGGTGCTATCAACAACAGAATGTGCCATCAACAACAAAATGAGTTATCTACAACAGAAGGTGCTATCAACAACAGAAGGTGCTATCAACAACAGAAGGAGCTATCTACAACAGAATGAGTTATCTACAACAGAAGGTGCTATCAACAACAGAATGAGCTATCTACAACAGAAGGTGCTATCAACAACAGAAGGTGCTATCAACAACAAAATGAGTTATCTACAACAGAAGGTGCTATCAACAACAGAAGGTGCTATGAACAACAGAAGGTGCTATCAACAACAGAATGTGCTATCAACAACAGAAGGAGTTATCTACAACAGAATGTGCTATCTACAACAGAATGTGCCATCAACAACAAAATGAGTTATCTACAACAGAAGGTGCTATCAACAACAGAAGGTGCTATCAACAACAGAAGGTGCTATTTACAACAGAAGGTGCTATCTACAACAGAAGGTGCTATCAACAACAGAAGGTGCTATCAACAACAGAATGTGCTATCAACAACAGAATGAGTTATCTACAACAGAAGATGCTATCTACAACAGAAGGTGCTATCAACAACAGAAGGTGCTATCAACAACAGAATGTGCTATCAACAACAGAATGAGTTATCTACAACAGAAGATGCTATCTACAACAGAAGGTGCTATCAACAACAGAATGTGCTATCAACAACAAAATGAGTTATCTACAACAGAAGATGCTATCAACAACAGAAGGTGCTATCTACAGAAGATAATGTCTACGAGAGAAGGTGCTATCAACGGGAGAAGTTACTACAACACGAAAAATTATTCTCTTCCCAGATTAAACATAGGCCCGGTGTATCGACCCGTTTAGGCCCGATGTATCGACCCGTTTATTTATTCAGCTGAACGATACCTTACAACATCCTGGTTCATACTCACTGCAAAACCAGTCGGCCTTGTGTGAATAATCGATTTCTCTATTTGAATACTGGTCTTCAGAACACGAGTATTTGTTGCTTTTTTTTTTTTTTCATCTTTGAAAGCAGATCAGAAATCACGTGATCTACATATCTACATCCGGCCACGTATAAGCAAGATCAATATTGTACCTGTATATATTTTGTAAAAGCTGTCACACGCTGGGTGATATATTTTTCTTTGAGGGGGGTGGGGGGGGGGCAATTAGGACAGATAGGGGGGGGGGGGATTGTCAGCCTCATTTTGGTAATACAATTTTTTTAGCCGCAGTATTTTTCTGTGTCTACAAAAGGCAGACCCCACCTTTGCTGGCTTTAGGGGGGAGGGGGGTGCGAATCAAACTTTGGTACGACATTACTTTTTTTCTATTCGCAGTCTGCCTGTCAATGCGGTTCTCAACCTTAACAAAAATGACCCTGTAGCATGGTACACTACCTATACTTTATCGGGAACCTCTGAACTATTAGCAAATGTCTGTCAGTAAAAAGTTGACTGTATTGGCGACACGATATGAAATGTGCCCTACATTCGGTGAGAAAAGAGAACTACATATTGCGTTTCAAAGCCTTAGGCGGAGTTGATTTTTGTTACACCCGAACTGAATTTAGACCAAAGCAGAAATGTTTCTCCTTAAGTGTGGGAATATGTGGAGTCAAGGAGAAGGGATAATGGTGTCAATGGCGTCGCTAGGTTGGGTGTCAACCGGTGCGGCACTTCTTAGTGTCACCCCCACCCCAAAGAAACAAAGAATATATATATATATATATATATATATATATATATATATATATATATATATATATATATATATATATATATATATATATATATATTGGTGACGGCCTACATAATTTAAATATATGCCACATACGAGTACATGTATGTGAATTAGCTTTAATCACTGCAGACTTACTTAACAGTAGCTGTGTTTATCTATAGTCGGTTAATACTACAGTTGTATGTAGCATTGTGTTCTCTAAGCGTGTCACCACCACCGCCATTGCAGGGGTTGATGATTTCTACTTAAAAGACTATTTAACTTTCATTAATCATTAACAAAATTGGCAAAAAGGCATTACTCTTCTGTACATTTTGCAATTAATTTTTTTGCCATGGTGTCACCCCCTGAATGGTGTCACCCGGTGCGATCCGAACCCCCGCCCCTCCCTCGCTACGCTTCTGAATCAGATTCAAAGGTTAAGAACTGGATTGGTGAAGGCAGTGTCAGGGGTTAGTGAAGACGTACCTGGACTGAATTAGTAAAGCCGGCAATAATGCGTCTTAGTTACCTTAACCTTTACGGTAGGGGGATGTGGTTCAATCTAAAGATGGTGACACTTTTGTCAAGGCGATACGCTTCGATGGACTGACGTCACTGGTTAGTGTATAAAGTAATTATTTACTTGTGGTTGGGATAGGTTGGCCTGGCTAAGTAATCCGCTGCAAGTACTTGGCAAGCGTATTTAATCGATGGCCAGGGATTCTCAAGGATGGATTGCTTTTTGAACTAGATGGCCTAACTTTCTTATCAGTGGCCAATGTATCTAATAATTGACCAGGTGGTCTATAGTCAGCGCGATTAGTATTTAACTAGTGTGGGTGTACAATAGATCTGTAGATTTCAACATAATTTATGAGCAACGACGATTACGAATCATTAAAATAAAAACGTATACACCAGAACACCTGGATTAAATTGATACAAGACTTTACTACACTCACGTGGTGGTGGTGGTATCAAACAACCCCCCCCCCCTCCCGATGCAAGGTAAACGACATCTGCTGCACACATTTCAACGCCAAATCGAAGATTAACAACCCCCCACCCCCATTCCTTTTTAACGACATTATTGCAACCCCCCCCCCCCCCCCCACCCTTCCCAGGCATTCCAATGACGTTTTAAAAATGTTGAGCAGACTTTTTTTCACAAGTCAAAACAATCAAGACCTACTGACCTAACCGACGGCAGTGGTGTCGGTGATGACTAGACCAGGAGGTCTAACTAAAACAAAAGCGGTGTAAGTAGGTCGAGGCCACCCAGGGACGCGCATTCAAAGACACGTGAGTGCAAGTTAATTCTGGGGTCAAATCGAATGCTTAATCACACCGGATAAGCCTCTAATTCAGTGTAAAGGCTAGGGATTTAATGGTTAGGATTAAATGGTTAGGGTATACGTCACGTGAAACCTAACTGCCGAAAAACATGGAAAAAAATATTTAAAAAAAAAACACGTTAAAAGTTAAAATACCAACTTCGTATTTTGTTTAACAAAGTTAATAAAATGGTTCGATGGAAAGGGGTAGGGGGGGGGGGGGGTGGGGGTGGGGAAGTATTCCTGCAATTACATTGGCTACATGTCATATCATTCCACGTAATAAGCAGAATATATATATATATATATATATATATATATATATATATATATATATATATATATATATATATATATATATATATATATATATATATATATATATATATATATATATGCCTATATATAGCGTCTGTATTTTAGATAAAATTCTAAAATTAGGCATGAAAAAGTACAATGCCAAGAATCTTTACTTTTTCTAGCCGTTAATTTTTATCCCAGGGTACCCTAGCAGTAGTGGTTAAAGTTCAAGATTTTATTGGGCCAACTTTTTTTAGCACGTGACCTCTCACAAGGTCGATTTAATTAATCTGCCTTTAGAGGCCGCGAGACGTGACGTCGATAGCCGACGTGTGAACGAGGGCTTTGTAAGAGTGGAGACAGTTATGGGTTAGGGGTGGAGGGAGGGAGGGGTTGGATAAAGCACTGTACTAGCTTTGCGATCTGACAGAAGAATAGCGCTGTGCGAGGGTAGAGGGTAAAAGGAATTGCAATAAAAACTTCCAAGCATTACGAGAGTTTAGCTAGGCTTACTTAGCGGATATTTTTAAACTCAAGGAAGGTTGAAAAGAGGTGGCTTTCAAAGAACAAAAAAAGGTTATAAAAAGAAGATATGAAACTATATATTTTTATCGAAGATGGTGAAATACACTTTAACCCTATCCCTCAAGCTTGTGTGCGTGGATTAAATTGGAGCTGGCAAAAAGTGGCAGGGCTGATAAAAAAAATAAACCGGGAGTGATCTCCCCTAAACTTTCTCGAATATTCTAATATAAAACTACTAGGGATGGCAACTCAGGACATAGACAATATTTGTAATCCATTTTTATCTACTTAAAGTTTTTATAATAGAATGGAATCTCGTAAAAAAAAAAAGAATTGCACACCAAGTGAACGCCTAATAAAATGTGCATAACAGTGCGAATATTATTAGTACTTTATAAATTTACGTGCGTTTTTTTGAGAAATCGGAAATAGCGTAAATTAGTACTTCCGGTCAACGGAAATTACTCAAAATTTGACAGAAGGCAGAGAATTAGATCTTTTACTTAAATGTGAAATTTCATTTATCTATCTGAAATAGTACTCAAGTTATAGGCTTTTGAAAAATTCAAAGTAGAAAAAGTGCCACTTCCGGTTATTGGAAATCGCTCAAAAGTTGATCCGGATCTACGTTTTTGATAAAATACTTATATATGAAATTTCATCAACCCAGCTGTAACGGTACTCAAGTTATCGTGTTTACACACAGACAGACAGACATACAGACAGACAGACAAGATTGCAAAATTATGTTTTTCCGTATCAGTGAGGTGTAAAACGTCGAGATTTGTAAAAAATCTCGATTTTTTTTTTAACGATTACAAGACCTTCTCTATACTTCGTATATACGAGAAAATAAAAATGCATTTCATCCAGCATGTACTTCCTTTCCAAAACGGATCCCATTCTAACAAGCACCCAGCGTACTCTCTCTCTCTCTCTCTCTCTCTCTCTCTCTCTCTCTCTATATATATATACATATATATATATATATATATATATATATATATATATATATATATATATAGGAAGTTAGGCACGTTTTGGACCCGTTTTCGCGAGAAAATTGTTATTAATATATAGCTTACACTGCTCCAGCCAAACAACATTGTACATTGTATGCTAGGATATACTTACTTGTGTGTAGGTTTTCCCCCACCTGAGCTAGGGGGCCTAATTAATCAACACAGTTTCTACTCTAGCCAGGTGAAATTGTGGGGGAGAGGAGATTAAAGAACACACCGCTAACACACGTAGCCAGTTGAACAAGACACCACTGAACACCACACCAGAACGAAACTGGCTCCACCAAAACTGACACCATCCCTCCTCTGCCACTACAGCTACTTATTATAAATAAAAGTTTCTTTTGTAGCGGAAGTTGCGGTCTAGTTTACGCAGTTATATTGTCATTCATCGGTTGGAACCTCCCCATCTATCAACAAACTCGGGCAAATGTAAATTTAAAAAAAGCAAAAAAACAAAAACGCCTGTAAGTTAAATGGCAACATGGCCGAAGAGTAAACCACACGACTGCTAACCCGATAGTCTCGAGTTTGGATCCTGGGCTCGCCTGCTTCATCTATCCCATTTAGAATCTATCTCGGGATAAGACGATGGTATACTTGCAAGTAGATCTAGATTTACTAACATTTCCAAAATTCAGTTCGGGTATCCCATGACTTGTTTTGCGTGGAGAAACATCTCTTTCACAAACAGGGCATTGAGTGATGACAAAGATGAATTTATATTTTTGAAAAATAAAGTCGTTCTTAAAAAAACAAAATTGAGGAAGGTGGGGGGGGGCAGAGTTTCTTCCAGGCATCTCTTCGGGGGGGCGAAGCCCCCCCGAAAAA